ATATGTTGTTAATTAAGCTGTTTAAAACAGAAATGCATTAATAGTGAATTTATCTATTGAATCTGGATATGATAGTTAACCACTTTAAAGATTATGGGGCAGGGCTACAACATGGCTCAGTGGGCAAAGGCATTTGCTGCTAAACCCAGTGACCTAAATTGAATCTCCAGGACATACATAGTGAAGGAGAGAACCACCTCCTACAAGTTGCTCCTCTGACTTCCACACAAGCCACGGCACATGCATACCTGCATACACATAAGTAAATATATTTTTAATTAAACATTGTGATATATCTTAATGAAAGGAGTTACAGTAAGTGCATATTTATTGCAGAACATATCGCTCAGTGAATATTCCTTTTATGTGTCCTAGCAGAATTTGATAGTTATTCTTTACTCAGACAATTTTGATCTAACTCTTGGAGCTTTGATTTGAAATGTGTCTACACATTTGTGTACATACCTGAGCACTTGGAGGTCAGAAAATTGGCTTTCTCCTTTTACCATTTCACTCCTGAGAATCGATTTCTAGTCATCAGGCTCAGAAGCAAGCACCTCTACCTGCTGAAACATCTTGCTGACCTACCCTCATTTGTGTTTGAATATTGTTTAGTATTCCCATGTTTACAACATTATCCACAGTTCCCAAAAGATAAAAGTAACCCAGGTAGCTATTGATGGGTAAATGGATACACACAATGAACTATATATTATTAAGCCTTTAAAAGGCAAGGGAATGCTGACATAGGCAATAGTGTGGATGAACTAAGAACATTGTGCTAATTAAGGTTAGACAGTCACAAAAGGACAAATATTGGGTGGCTTTACTCAAGTTAGGTACATAGAATAGTCAGAATCATTGAGATAAAACAGTAAAGGGACAGGGAAGGAGGAGTTACTGTTTAATAGTTTCAGTTTTGCAAGGTGAGAAAATTCCAGATGTGGCTATTGTTGAAAGTAACACAATATGGGGCTAGAGAAATGGCTCAGCAGTTAAGACCACTGTTGGAGAGGACCTGGGTTCAGTTCCTAGCACCTGCCTTGGGTGTTTCACAGCTGCCTGTAACTCTAGCTCCGGGGACCTACATGGGTACCATACTAGGATACTATGCCGAGGGTGCGCATGAGCACACACAAAATTTAAAATCAACTTTTATATTAAAAAATAACCACGCAGATATTTATTATCATTGAGCTGTATAATGCATGCATGTTCCACAATGTTTATTTACCTTTTCATTGCTGGAGAGTGTCCCCAGGGCTTGTACATGGACTTTTCCACCGAGCAACACCCTTAGTCACTGAACCAGTTTTTGGTGGGAGGGAAGTGAAGGCAAGATCTCCTGTAGACCAGGCTAACCCCAAACTTCCTATGTAACTAAGGATGACTTTGAACTGCTCGTCTTCAACTACTAGAATGCTGGGATTATAGGCATGTACCACCATACTAGTTGTATGTGGTTCTGAGTATGGAACCCATGGCTTCATTGATGATGATGATGCTAGGCAAGCACTCTGCCAGCTGAACTACACCACCAGCCTTCTTTACCAATTTTTAAAATAAATATTTTAAACAAAACCTCCAAAAGCCAAAAATATGTAAATTAATTTTGTTCCTCTAAAGCAGGAACCATAGTGCTAAAACTGTTTTACCTTTTTAAAAATAATTACATTTTAAATGGCTGTGAAAGTACCTATATAATGGCCTTTGACCTTCAGAGCCTAAAATATTTACTATCTGGCTCTTTTAAAGAAAGAGTTCCTGTTCTCTGTTCTAAATTGACATTTTAATGAATTACCTCTGCTGTTAACCAATTCTCTGTCCCAAAAACTAGGCACGTAAGTGTTCTGACCTTTGTTTTCCCAGGGTTAGAAAGTGTAATACTTGTCTTTTCAGAGTTGTGAAGTGAGCAGAAGATAGGAAGCAAAAAATGAAACCCAAATCTCATGTTTGTTTTACTTCATGGCGATTGAACATTGGCCTTATTTACTTTGTTGTTAGCAAGTGTATTGCTAGCAGACCAACTTCCTGTTCTTAGCTAGGCAGTTGCTCAGTTTTTTTTGAAGGGGGGGTGGTTTTTTGTTTTGTTTTGGTTTTTTTTTTTTTTTTTTTTTTTTTGGTTTTTAGAGACAGTTTCTCTGTCTCTGTGTAGCCCTGGCTGTCCTGGAACTTGATTTGTAGACCAGGCTGGCCTCGAACTCAATGAGATCCACCTGTATCTGCCTCCCAAGTGCTGGGATTAAAGGCGTGCACCACCACTGCCCGGCCAGTTGCTCAGTTTTAAGAAAGTCTAAATCAGGAGGCCTTAGTTTTTTATTGTTCTGTTTTTTTAGCAGCCAGTTGGTAAAACCCAAAATTTAGAGTTAAAAATTAGAACTTGGGGAGATGTGTGTGGTGGCGTACAGCCTTAACCCCAGCATGCGGGAGCCATAGCCTGGCAGATCTCTGGTCTACATAATGAGTTCCCCAATGTCTCAAAAAAGAAAAAAGAAATAGAACTTGGCTGGTGTGATAAGAGACTTGGGTCAAGCCAGGATTGGGGGTATCATTCATACATGTTGCCTTATGTTTGCTGTCTTAGTTTTTTTCCCTACCTTTAAAGAATGAATGTTATTGGCTTGAACTAAGTTTTGTTTTTTGTTAGAAAATGCTTTCTAGGGAATCGGTTATTTTTAAGAAACACTTAATGTGCACTGGTATCCAAACATCTTAAAGCTTTATAGGTCCCACTGAAATTTTATAATCCCCAATACATAAGCTACAGAACATTCCCAGGAAAGATTGTTATTTTAAATTTGAGAAGTAATGGAATTTCTTCCACAAAGGCCAGACAGAAACCATGTTCTTAGAGCACAAGGCCAATTGACAGAAATGATTTGCAGCAGGTTTTTCCAGACCAATGGCTGGCTGACAGCACTAAATCAGTAGACAGCCTTTGGGATTCATAAGGCCTTAGGGCTGTGGTTATGAGGCAATTTGTACAAAATTAAATGTTTGGATGAAGGAGTTACTTTCCATTACCAGCCCTCTGTCATTTCTCTAACTGTGGTAAGAGCACCTTGGCCTTTCTTTTATTTTATCTTGATTGCAAGTGGCGTTTCAAGGATTGTATTTTGGTTGCCTACTTGGGAGAACCTTTATTACACCCAAGTCTAGATCTAATAACTGAGTTTTATCTTGTAGATACCTTTATTCTTCTGTTTATTATTTCTATTGTATGATTTTGTTCTAATAAAAGTCAATGCGGAGTTCTACAGCTTTTTCTTGATTTACTAGTCAGAGGCACAACATTGATCCATATTAAACTAATTGGATTAAGTTGATTATTTTCCAAATTTTATAGTTTCTAAACCACACTGAATAGTTGTAAGTTCAGCTTCAATGTTACAGTCTGAATACAGCAAATGGCAGAGATAGGAACTAGAAATGCCTCCTGTTTACAAGATTTTTACTATTTTTGTGTATGGGTCTTGTGCCTGCATGTGGCCGTTGAATCATGTGTGTGCCAGGTGCCTGAGAAGGTTGTGAGCCACCACCATGTGAGTCCTCTGGAAGAGTAGTTGGTGCTTTTAATAAGCCATTTTCAAGGCCCCCCCCCCCCATTTGATTTTATTTTTGTGGGGTTTTGCCTTGTTTTTGATCCCTCCCACACATTTGACAGCCTCTTGAGATGTTTGCCCTTTTTCTCTAAGAGAGACAATTAAGGCATTTCACAGTGGAAGCCTAAGAACCTAAGTAGGTCAGCTATCACTAGTCTTCAGACCAGAGACTGGAGGGGAGTAGCCCTTTATCAGCTGAAGCCATCTGGTAGGCCCTGTTGCAGATGGGTTAGTTCTGCTGTGCTAACAGAACTAAATGTCACTGAAATTATAGAGTTGACTGTCATTGAGCTCCTTTATTTTATTTTTTTACTTTTTTGGTACCAAGGCACAAGTGGAGGTCATAGAACAGTTTGCAGGGGTCAGTTTTCTTCTTCCACCATGTAGGCTCTGAAAACCAAATGTATGTGTCAGGCTTGGTAGCAGGTGCCTTTACCCACTAAGCCATCTCCCTGGGCCCCTCACTTGTAAGCTCCCTGAAATTTGTGGTATCTGGTTATTTGTGAAGCTGCAAAACCATGCCTTGGTCCCTTTAGGTTTCTTTGGAAAACCCCATTCTGGTGGAGTTTCTTCTCTTTACTATGTAAAAGTTACAAAGCTATTATAATTATGAACTATTAGGTCATTTCCTATTTTAAGAAACTGTCACTTCCTCTTAGTAGATTTGAGGGTTCATTTCAAACAACTGAAGCTTTATTTCTGCATGTTAGATTAAATGCTTACTGAAATTTTTTTTCCACAAGACTAGTTGACAAGTACAAATAGCTCAAAGTCTAATCTTGAATTCTTTCTTAACTAGTCTGTTATGCTCAGTGCTTGGTTATGTGAGATTGACACATCAGTGCAAAGTATGCGGGGGGTGGGGTGGGGTGCGTGCTTGTGTTCCATCAGTATGGACTCAAAGCTTGATTATTTTTAATCACTACTGCTTCTTGAGTACTCAAATATTTGAAGGACCTGTCCAGAGTCCAAATGCTGACAGTACTGTTTCCACATAGGATGTTCACCTTGCTTACAGCCTTCGATCCATTGGCGGTTCTAGTGACAGACAACACAGACTCTGCCGGGGCATGGAATGACCAATCTGTTTGAATGGCTATGGTTACAGGTTGGGTTGGGGAAAGCGCATCAGTCTTGAGGATCTTAGGTACAAGTCATGAAAAGTTCAAACAAGTTATCTATTCTATTCTGAAATACAAATTTCAGATTTGGGAAATTATCTCCTGAGTTTAATAATGGTTTAAAAGTTCCTCCTGCTTGGGGTAGAGTATTTAAGAGGAGTTTCTCCATATCTTTCCATTTTACTGTACTTTTATCCCACTTTTATTTATTACACTTTTCTACCCTTTGATGCTAGGACTGAAATATGTAAGGCTGTTTGTTTTCCTTCTTTCCCAGGTGGTCTTCGAGGAATAGCACGTGGTGGCCTGGCAGGACTGACCCTCACCAGTCTCTATGCACTGTATAACAACTGGGAGCACATGAAAGGTTCCCTGCTCCAACAGTCACTCTGAAGATTTTGCCACCTCTGGACTGGGGGACATTTCATAGTCATCCAGATTGATTACTAAGTCAGTCTGGAGTTGCTTTCTCACTTGTACCGACAATTACTTTGAACAATTGGAGACTCTGATTTGCTGTGACAAAGATCATGGATGGTTAGCCTGGACTGCACTGCTTGCCCTTAGTGAGTGGAAGCCAAACCCCTTGGTGGCTCACTGAGTATGTGTTCTCTTCTCCTTTGGAGATGATCTTGCACCTGTTTTCTCTCCTACCCCCAAACTGGAAAACCACTTACTCTCCAAATTCAGGCCAGACTTATTTTCAACACTTTTATCACCATGTTTATCATTTAAAAATCTAAAACTACTGTTGCCCTGTATTCCAAATAAAGGGTGAAAATAGAACCAAAGTCATAATCCCAGCATAAAAAATAGTATCTCCATTGAATAACATCTGGGTGGGGAGGGAGATGGCTTATCAGGTAAATCACTTGCTGTGCAAGGGTGAAGACCTGAGTTTAGATGCCCAGCACCCAACATGCCCAGTGGGTGTGGCAGCCCACCTATAATCCTAGTGCTCAGGAGGCAAAGACAGTCCTTGGAGCAAGCTGACTAGGTTCAAATGAGAGACTTAGCTTCTAGTGTATATAAGGTGACAAATACCTGAGACAGACACCATTGTCAACCCCTGGCAAGGGCACTCACATGCACAGATAACTGCCTATAAAGTGACAGCCCTTTTTCCTGCCTTTGTGTTTATGGTGCAGTGAAGGGCTACTGATAGCATAAACAGCTAAAGTTAGATTTTCCTACTACACGGCTGACATTAAACAACCTCAAGATATTTTAAGTTAATCATTAGAGTAGTATGCTAGAACACTCTGTCCCAACAGTTGACCTTCATTCTGTATAGTAACTTTTTCTTTTTTTTCTTTTTCGAGACAGGGTTTTCTCTGTGCTGTTTTGGTGCCTGTCCTGGATCCCGCTCTGTAGTCCAGGCTGGCCTTGAACTCACAGAGATCGGTCTGGCTCTGCCTCCTGAGTGCTGGGATTAAAGGCATGTGCCACCACCGCCTGGCCTCTTTGGGGATATTTTAAGGGCTGGAAGTTTTCTAAGAAGCCCAGGAAAACTAAAGGGAAAAAAATGATAATCACATAATTACACCACAGGGTACATAACAAGATAAATACCAGGCAACCTCTGGCTATATGGTTGACAAAAATACACTGGGACCTTTTTGAATATATCTAGTAGAAGGGAATCATTGCACACAACAGAAGAAAAATATATGTGGAGTTTTTTAGGGAAAGGCTAAAAATAAGATGCATAAACTATACACTCATTGTATATATTATTTATTGCATCCTTAACCAAACATTAACATTTGGAGCTTTACAGACAACACAAACAACTGTGATGTGGCCATTATGCTTTTAATGGAGATATAAAACCAATGCAAAAGAATGTTTTATTTATCATTAGCATAGTGATTAACTTAAATTACATTTTAATAATGTAAAATACAGTGTGTTAGACCTCAAAAGAGAAACTACAAAGTTGCCTGCAACCTAAGATGTTGGGAAGGCTCCTTAAATTGTTTTTACCCACCAACTTTATAATACTCAGTGGCATCTGGGGGGACATAAGAAAATATGAGGCTCTTTTCAGCTGTTATTCAGAACTTTAGTAAAGCTGTATGATAATGTCACTTTGGGACCATACAATTTTTCCACAAGTTCTTCCAATAGCATAGGCAGTTCAGAGGCTTAATAGTTCAAAGCAGAGAAAGCAGCTAAGTTATCTTGGAGAATTGTGAAACAGAAATCCTGTTACTCTCCTACAGAGAAACTCTCTAAAATGTAGCCATAACTCAAGGATGTCAGTTCTGTGAAGTTTCAATAAACACTCCAAGGCACAAGTGTTGGGCACAGCCTGTTAATCAAGATGTCACTGCACCATACTTTTGGAGGTTCAGGATGCTGTGCTTGAAGTGACAGGACATTGACTTTATCCCTAGTTAAGAGCACCAGGTGTCAAGCTCAGCTTCCATTTACACAGGATGCACCAATAAATCCTTAGGGTGATGAGTGGTCAGGTACTACGTCCCTAACACATCTTGCCTTTCTGTTTTTGATGGCCTGGGGCTCTTTAAGACAAGGTTTGTAGGGCTTCAGGGGCTCTGACTGCCCTAAAAGTAGTCTTGAAGCAATAGAGTCCTTTTCAAAGAGCTCACTCGATACTTAATTTCTTTCAAATGAAAAATGTTAGGAATGACATATAGGCTAAATATTTGATGATTAATATCAAAAATTGCAATATAACTAAGACATTTAGTAGGGCAAAATATACTGTATTGGTAAGGTTAATTATTTGTGTGAAATACTCTATATATCAACTGAACAAAAAAATTTCAAACCACTAGAAGCCCATAGCAAGAGAAACAGCTGAAAGACAAGTCAGGAAAGTTTACTGGTTTTAGAACACACTAACACACTTGATATAGAAATATTTTACTTTTAAAACTAGTGTTTGCTGTGGAAGCTGCTAAAGGCCAGTATACCAAGATGCTGTTTCTAGTATGGGAGTTAGTTAAGTTAGTGCTTCTCTAAGAAGGAACTGAATCACTTGGCATTCTTTCACACACAGCTTGTAATTTGATGATTTCTGTTTACTAGTTCAAAACTAAGCAGGAAAGGAATTAAGTTGACTAGTCAGGCCTGGAATAAACAATGGTTTGGCAAGTCACAGTCACTCAGCTCAAGGATGTGTGGTAATCTGCAGGAAAGCTGCTCAATTCTAGTAGTCCACTGCTTCACATCTGTAAAGGAAAAAAAAAAAACCCACAGGAATCTTAGTTCACTGCAGAGAGCAAAATTCTTTCCACTTTAAAATGGACTCAGGTCTTAAGAAACCACAATCCATGCGGGAATAAGAACATTAGAGGCAGTTAACAGACTGAAAAAGTCACTTAAAGTTCAAGTGCGTAACATTAATAGTTTTAATCTCTCTCTCTCTCTCTCTCTCTCTCTCTCTCTGTGTGTGTGTGTGTGTGTGTGTGTGTGTGTGTGTGTGTGATGCACATGAGGGCTTGTGTTATGGTATGGGTAAGAGAGTCAAAGGACAATTCTATGGAGTCGGTTCTAGCTTTACATAGGTTCCAGGGATTGAACTTAGGTTGTCGGGTACTTTTATTTTGCTAGCCTACAATACCTTAAATTTTCAAGGTACTTCTGTTCGTGTACAAATGAACAGGAATGTGGTCGGTGGGGGAAAGTGTAAGTTGGTAAGAAAGAGAAAACATTTTTTGAGCAGCTATGATAACCATGCTGGTGCAGGTACCCACCTGTAGAGGAGTTCTATACAGCCATTTGTCTTTATCAACTTTAAGTTGCATACAGGCAAAGAGATCACAAACTGCCGGGAGGCCGTAACAATCTGGGCGAAAGTTCCGTTCTTCTTGTAGGGGTGAATTAAGAAACACTTCCTGCAAGAAGATAAAAAAGATGACTACTGGGAGGCATGAGACTAAACTCCCAATCAAATGGAAAAGAACAATGTAAAGCATTGTCTTTTCCAAGAACAAAGGTAACAACTGTGGCTACAAAACAGGCTGGACTTTCTTCTTTACTGCAGCACGGAGGCTAAGGACCTGAGAAATTCACAACTACAGTGGATTATAAATCATCCACCCTGTTTAGACTTGGGAAAATTACTACCTTGACCAAATTTAGCATGAATTAAAGCAGATTCAAAGGAGGCAAGTTTTAATGTCTGCTTACCTGGGCCTTCTTTCGAAGTAGCCACTTATCTTCTCCAGAGGAGAACTGGCTGAGGTTTCCCACTTTCTTTCCTGGCAAGACCCAGTCAGCAGTATTAAAAGGACACCAGGAAGTGGCCATAGGGACTTTAAGCATTTCTTTGCCAGCTCTCTCCTCAGTACTAGGCACTTCCTTAGGGCCCCCTCCTTTGCATGTGGGTCCAAGAAGCCACTCTGACAGGGAACTGTTCCTTATGACTTGGAAGGAATCAGCAATTCTAGCAGGAGCCACTGCCTTGGGTGCCTTAGCTTGTTCTGTTAGCTCATTTCTGGAAGGACAGAGCCACAGATTCAGGGACTCTTTGTGTTTCTCAGGCTCAGATTTGGGTTCCACAGGCATTCCATTCTTATCCTTTCCTTCTTTCTTCAGAAGCCATTTATACAGGGCTTCCTTCTCACAGTTGTTATCACACACACACTCTGCAAAGCTTGTGCAGGGCTCGTTGGCTTTGCATACTTCCTCTACTCTACATGGGTCCTGATGGTTCTGGACAAGCCAAGCCTCGGTGATTACGCTGGGGACTGACAGTGGTTTTTTGGCCTCCAAGTGGTCATTCAGGCATTTCAGATTGCCCAGGTTCTCAATCTCCACACCTCTGGGCTGGTTACCCTGACAGTTGGTACAGGAGTCAGGCTTGACAAGCCAATCATTCACATTGTAGGGCTCTGTGAACACCTGGAATAAGAGTTTAAACTTCTCACTGGTTTCACAGCTACCATTCTCAGGCTTCTCCAGTTCACAGGGTTCTTGGGGAGTCACCAACCAATCAGACAAGTCCAGGTCATCTTGATCGAGGAGCTCTACATCTTCAACCTTTTCAACTTCAGTAGAGAAAGAGTTGGTGCTACCATGGCTGTTACACTTTGAGGAACTTGGTTTTCCAGGAATGTCTTGATGACTGTTGAGGAGCCAGTTTTCTAAGCCCTTTAGATTGCCCCAGGCATTGCTGAAGAAACTGCAGGCTCTGGCAGAAGTCTATACAAGAAGTAACCAAAATGTTTAATTTCCCAGAAAAAAATACTAAAAAATACATTTATGTCTAACAAGCATAAAAACATTCAACTGCTTCAAAAGCAAAATTGATAGCCTGTGAAAATCAAAGACACAAACAGGTTTGGTGGTTGTGGAAGTCTGAATGAGAATGACCCCAGAGGCTCATATATTTGAATGTTTGGTTTTCCAGGTAATGGGGTGTTTAGGAAGAAGTAGGAGGTGTGGAGTTGTTCAATGAGGTGAGGTGTATTCACTGGGTATGGGCTTTAGGTTTCAAAAGCCCATGCCAGGCCCTGTGTCTGTCTGTCTCTCTACCTCCAACTTATAGATAAGATATAAGCTCTCAGCTACTGCTCCAGCACTGTGCCTGCCTGCCTGCTGCCATGCTCCTTGCCATGATGGGTAATGGACTCACCCTCTGAAATTGTAAGCAAGCACTCAATTAAATGTTTTCTTTAAAAAGTTGCCTTCGGCCGGGCAGTGGTAGCGCACGCACGCCTTTAATCCTAGCAGTCGGGAGGCAGAGGCAGGTGTCTCTGAGTTCAAGGCCAGCCTGGTCTACAAAGCAAGTTCTGGGACAGCCAGGACTACAAACAGAGAAACTCTGTCTTGAAAAACAACAACAACAAAAAGTTGCCTTGGACCTGGTGTCTCTTCACAGCATATGGAAAAAGTAACTAAGACAGTGGCAAATACTCTACTCATACAAATATCAACCATTAACTTCCTAGAAAGCCATATTGGCACAATGTAGCAAAAGTCAAAAGAGTACATAGGCAGAACAGTAACTTAGGAATCCAATTTATAGGGATTTACTCCTAAGGAACTAATTAGATCCTAAAGTATAGGGGGCAGAATCTTAAGCTCTAGCCAGCTGATGAACTGTATGTGATCAAAAGCATTATATATTTATCAAAACATAATTTACAGAATGATTTTTATTTATATGTATGTACAGGAAATGTTATAAACAAAAATGTGTTAATGTCAGGCTGGAGAGATGGATCAGCAATTAGAGCACTAGCTGCCCTTCCAGAGGACCCAGGTTCAATTCCCAACACCCACATGGCAGCTCACAGCTGTCTGTGATTCCAGTTCCAGGGCACCCAATACCCTCATCTAGACATACATGCAAAACACCAAAGCACATAAAATAAAAATAAATTAATTTATAAAAATGTCTTAATGTCACTTCACTAGAGATTATGGACATGTATTTTGAAAGATTTTTTTTCCCCTAAACTTCCTATTTACAATGAAGTGATTTCACTTTTGTAACTAAAGATTAAAAACATGCCCTTCTACATAGACATAAACTACTTACTGTTAACCCAGTCTACCTCAGAAACAATAAAGGCAGCCACACACCTGACTATTCTCCAAGGTCTGTTTTGGGGTAAGCCAGTCCTGTGGGTTGGTACTGGGTACATAAGGAGCCTGATGACCAATGGCAGGTTTGCTTACAAGAAGCCATTCATTGAGAGAAACAGCTGTGCTGCTGGATGCTGACTTCTACAAGACATAAAAAAAGAAATGGAAAAACTTTGCTGTTTAACAAGGCAGTATCAAATGAAAGAGAAAATTTACCAGAAACAGGAGACCCAAGCACTCTAACATTGGGTTACTACTAACCATAAAGAAGTCATGCCTTCCCTGAACTTCAATTTTTTTTTTTTTCCTCATTGGGCTAGTGAGATGGATCAGTGGGTAAGAGCACCTGCCACCAAGCATGATTGACCAAGTTTAATCCTCTGGATCCACATGGTCCTCTGACCCCCACACAGGCACCATGGCCAGTGCAGCCTGCCCCATACATACACCATACACAAATATTTTTAAAATTTATTGTGTGTGAGAGGGCACCCATGCTATGGCATGTGTATGGAGGTCAAAGGACAACTTTGTAGAGTTGGGCCTCTCCTTCCAACTTTATGCAGGTTCTACAGATTGAACTCAGGTAAAATGCACGGTAAACCTTTATCCCCTAAGCCATTGTCTTACCAGTCCCATTTTTCACAATTGTAAAACAAGATCAGGGACGGTGGTCACACCTACAATCTCAGCACTCTGGGAGGCCAGCTCCAAGTTAAAGCCAGCTTGGGCTACA